CCAAGGCAAATTAGAAACTTTGCTAATCTACCAATAAAATATACATTATACTGTAAAATTGTATAAAAAAAAAAGAAATAAAAAAAAAAAAACTTGAAAGGCCAAGGCAGGAGGACTGCTTGAGCCCAGGAGTTGGAGGCCAGCCTGGGCAACATGGTGAGACCTTGTCCCAAATTTATTTTTATTATTTTTTTTAAAAAAATGAAAACAACAAAGACAGTATACGGTAAGTAAAGTCTCTTCTAAACTAGTTCTAGAAAAGTCTACTCCTGATGTAATAACCTACCCTGGGCTAGCATCACTGACTCCATCTTAGCTGTAAACTCCAACCTGGCTTCCTCCTCCCTACCACAGCCCCTCTGAGTGCATAGCTGGGTCATGCTGCACTTAGAAGCATTGAAGCACTGTTCCTAACACTTGTAACCACTGTAAACACATCCTGCTTGGCATACCTCCCCCCTGCTATTGTAAGAAAAAAGTTTCCCTTCGATCATTGTGCAGAAGGAGCCTGATGGCCCCCATTCTTGGTAATGGTATGAAAACCACCTGTACCTGCAGCCCCTTCCTCTAACCTGCTTTTCTGCTTCTGTAAAATTCCGCTTCAACTAGACTCCCCCTCCCCTACCTAAATCAAGGTATAAAAGATAATCAAGCACCTTCCTCAGGGCCGAGAGAATTTTAAACATTAGCCGCAAATCAATAAAGGACTCTTAATTTAGAATTCAGATCATGGCGCATTCCTTCTAACTCGCTCAGTTACATCATTGTGTATTCCATGCTCTCTTCTTTAGCAAGTTGGTGTCATAAAGAAAAAGAACTGTTCCAGATTAAAAGAGACTGAAGGAATTAAAACCAGATACACAGTCCCGGAGTGAATTCTTTACCAACTGTAAAGAATCTTTTAGTACGAATGAAGAAATTTGAATGTTGGCTATTAGATAATATCAAGAAAGTATTACTAGCTTTATTATTGCAATGTTATAATGTTATGTTTAGCTATCTGAAAAGTGTTCTTACTTTTCAGATGCATACTGATATATTTGGAATGTTAAGATATTTGTAACTTGTTTTAAAACACTAAAGCATAGAAAACATGGAAGTTTTAGGAATGACCTGTCCTCTTCCAGAATTTTTTAAAAATGATAATGCTAAAATAAATCATTTTTACTTACTTCATTTCAACAACAATCATCTAACAATATTAGAATAAATTCATCTTATATGCAATTTGAACCAGCTCATATAACTAGAAGGAACCTAAAATATCAAATTTGAGGGTAGCTCTGTGATGAGAAAGACACAGGGCCAAAGTATTGGGATCAGAGGCCTGGATTCACGTAGTTTCTCCTGCATTTACTGGATGTGTGATACTGAGGAATAACCTCCTTGAGCCTATTTTATCCCACTAGTAAAACGGGGAAAACAACTGTTGAATTCTTAAGAGTTATAAACCAAAAACAAGCAAGCAAACCTTAAAAACTACAAAGCCTATACAAATACACTGTTACCATTCTTCGTATCAGATTATTCTCTTTTTAACCTTCTTGTATATGGGCAGGTAAAACAGAAATTTTAACCCAATTATAAAGTTAGTATTATATTTTACTTAGAAACATTTTTCCCTTAAGTAGCTCATGTGGTTTACGATACTTTAACTGCTACTTTTGCCACATTGTTTTGGCCAATTTAACTCCATTATTTCAATCTAATATTGCTACCCTATTATTATGGTCTTTATTAATATTTAATTGCCTCTACTCCATTTTTCTTTTTTGCTCTAGATAAATGTAAAACAGCAATTAATTACACTATTAAAAATCTTGCAGGCCGGGCATGGTGGCTCACGCCTGTAATCCCAGCACTTTGGGAGGCTGAGGCGGGTGGATCACAAGGTCAAGAGATCGAGACCATCCCGGTCAACATGGTGAAACCCCGTCTCTACTAAAAATACAAAAAATTAGCTGGGCATGGTGGTGCGTGCCTGTAATCCCAGCTACTCAGGAGGCTGAGGCAGGAGAATTGCCTGAACCCGGGAGGCGGAGG